TTTGGCTGGAAATTGTTATACGATAGTTTTCTGTTTAATGATTGTATCCTCTGTCTGATTTGTCATATCTTGTGTTGTTCAGTAGTACCTTATTTCTATAATAGGTAAGTTAACTCAATTTGTGGCTTAGGTCACAGGTTCAAGTTCCCACACCACACAAACTAAGCCCCATATTTTAGTGGAGAACGGTACTGTAGCTAGCCAATTATCCACCGAGTTTAGAAGGTTGTGATTGGTCCAAAGGTCGAGTTTAGAAGGTTGTGATTGGTCCAAAGGCTGAGTTAAGAAGGATGTGATTGGTCCAAAGGCCGATTTTAGAAGACTGTGATTGGTCCGATGGGTGGTGTCACATATGGATTTCTCAGTCATCTAAAAAAATCTCTTTGGATTTTGCTGATATTTAGAAACCTGTTGTGAATCAACTTCTAGATGACATATCGAGTTTGTCTTTAACCTATTCCCGTGTTGTACTACTTGTGTTTTCATAAATAGTACTCCCTCAAGCTAAGTTGTGCTGAGTCTTTACTTTCATAGCTGTGCCTGTGTATTAGCCCTTTAGTTCATATTAAGTTAATTACTTGGACATCTTTTATTGTTCAAAATATGTGATTGCTTAAAGCTCAAGAAAATTATTGGTACTTTTTTTCCCATGTTTGCCCTTTATTTAATGAATGTTCTTTACTAGTATACATGGGAGAATAGTTTGGGAATAATCATAATGTTAATAATGGAAATTAGCCTTTAATTTTTGTCCTTAATATTTTTCTTACGCAATGTGCCATTGCCCCAACTGTTGACTTATATGGATACTGTGATTACTTTTTCCCATCACTTATTTGTGTCACCCTTCTTGTACAGTGAGGGAAGCCAGGAGTGATGGCCAGAGAGGAGGAGGCCGCGGGGGTCCACGTGGAGGGGGCCGTGGTCGTGGACGTGGACGTGGGTTTAACCAAGACTTTGCTGCTGATGAGAATGCTTTTGGCAGCAATAATGGATTCTCTGGGAGGTACAGTGCTCCAGAAAATGGAGAATCAGGAAAGGTCTCTGAAAGGAGAGGTGGATACGGTGGATCTCGTGGGGGCTTCTACGGAGGTCGTCGTGGTGGTTTCAATAATGGTGATGCTGCTGATGGAGAAATTGAACGCCCAAGGAGAGTGTTTGATCGACGAAGTGGCACTGGCCGTGGGTAAGTGATTTTGCTATTTATTGAATTCATACAAGTGCTTTTCACTAATCCCTTTGTTAGGTTTTTCAGTAACTCTAAGTTGTGCTTATTGTGGTAGCCTTTTTTTCTTGTGCACATGTGTGTATCTTATTGTTCTGTTCTATTCTATAGGAATGAGTATATTAAACGGGAGGGCTCTGGTCGTGGGAATTGGGGAACTACTGCAGATGATATTGCACTGTGAGATCATCATCTCTATTTTTTGTTTCCTTATTTTCATTGGCTTTACCTATTAAATTTTTTGTAGTAGCATAATGTTGATTTTTTTAATCCAAATTCAGGGAGACTGAAGTACCTGTTGTTGATGGTGAGAAGATTGTTGAGGCTGAGAAACAAACTGGGCAGGAAGATGCTGGAGATGACAACAAGGATTCTACTGCTGCTGAGCTAGAAGAGAAGGAACCTGAGGAGAAGGTAACTGACATTTTCTGGTGAAGACCATTATTTCCTCTGTCTGCTTACATGCCCTTATTCTATTGTTGCCAATTGATATCTTTGTTGGCACTATCATTTTCTTAAGTGGGGTGCTATTGGGGGGAAGGGAGAGAAACGGGGTGCAAATTCAATATTGAGTTCTTGGACCGTCTCCTTGTCGATTAAATCAGTCTGGACAAGGAATAATCTCAGCTCAGTTATCCATATTCCAGTGCAATCTAACTTGTCGAAACCAGTAATGTATTTTATTTATTGTTGGTAAGTTCTTCAATGTTTTTCCCAGTATTTCCTATGGTAGTTTCATACCCATTCCAAAAAAAAACCACTTGCTGCTATTGTTTTTTTCATTTACTACTCACTGTTTCTTTGTGGATTACCTTTCTTGTAGAGGTTTGACTTACAATGTTGTAGCTAGTGTTATTTGCTTGATTCCAGTTGTTATTTTTCATATGTATCTATGGTCACTGTTCAGAACTTCTAATTTTTCATCTCTGCTTATGTTGTAGGAGATGACCCTCGAGGAGTATGAGAAGGTAATGGAGGAGAAGAGGAAGGCTTTGGTGGCTCTAAAGCAGGAGGAAAGAAAGGTTAATTTGGACAAAGAACTTCAATCCATGCAACTTCTCTCAAACAAGAAGAATGATGATGAGATCTTCATCAAATTGGTGAGTTATTTTAGTGCTTGCTGCTTTTGAGTGCTCTAATTGGAACTTGATTGTGTCGTAGGCTGCTATATTCATCATGCTTGTATGTCTGGGCAGGGTGCTGAAAAAGATAAGAAAAAGGAGGCAGTGGAAAAAGCCAAAAAGGTACTTGGGCTTCTTCTTTTTATCTTGCTATGTGGTATTGTTGCATCATTTTTAATCTGTTCCTTGGGATTCCATTCCGTTCCATAAACTCTTATCTATCAAAAAATTATGTACCTAGCGGCTAGCAGGGTGTTTGCTTAAGGGGAGAGCAATACATCCTGCAGCGCCCCACAAGTGCAAGCCCCTCCCAACTGAAAAAAAATTAAGTGTTTCTTGTACCTCCAGAATCACGTAAAATAAGTCAATGGTATTTTTAGACAGAAAGATCAATCTCCACTCATTCTTCACCAGCTGCAAAGAAACCATTCTCATCCCTTTATTGTATTTTTGATGAAAAATGGAATGAGGGATTACAAATTTGTAGGTGTCATTATTCGAATTTTCCCCAACATCCGTGTGCATTCATGTGATATCAGTATATTATAGTACACTTACATAGGGGACCCAATCTAGTACATAATACTCTAAAATTGAAGACATTGATCCAGAAATGTTTCGTGTTCAATATATTTAATTACTGTTTTAGTTGTGAGGCTTGATACATTCAGTTTCTTGCAGGCCCAAAGCATAAATGAGTTTCTAAAGCCTGCTGAGGGTGAAAGTTACTACCGCCCTGGTGGCCGTGGTAGGGGCCGCGGCCGCGGAAGAGGTAATGGTGGTGGATATGGTGGAATCAGCAGTGTTTCAGCCCCATCCATTGAAGATGTTGGTCAATTCCCCTCCTTGGCTGTCAAGAAAGGGAGGCAGTCCTGCATGGATTAGGTAAAAAAGGAAGCAACTTTTGTAGTTTGATCTGTCTTTTTCCGTCATTTATGATATTTGGGCTTTGATGATAACATAACGTGTCCTGGAACCCTTTTGGATTTCCTGTATTAGATTTTTTGGGGTAACATCATAATTTTCGTTTAGCGTGTAAATTTAGACGGTTCCTGAAAACGCTGGTTTGCTAATCCTTTTAGTACATTTACAAAAAAACCCTTTTCCTCCATATTTTGGTGCTAGACTTGAGTCTTATAATTTCCTTATTAAATCAGTTTTGGTTGAAATTTATTAGCAACAATTATGTTTATATTCTTAAATAACGACGTCTAACTCTTTGCCCTGGGGAAACAATCTCTCTACCTTCAGAAGGAAGGGGTAAGGTCTTTGTATGCGCTGCCCTTCTCTTACCTCAATTATGAGATTTACTGTTTATGTTGTTTTACGTCTTAACTCATTGTACGATAGTTGTTAAGAATCTCACAATAGATCCTTGCTTATATCTTGAAATTGATACGAGTTTAGTTATTTTCCGTTAGGTCGACTCTTCATCGACAAAACTATTGTCTTAGATTGTGTAAACCTGTTTTTCTGAAAATTTTAGACTTCCCTTTACCTGATTTTTCTTTATCCTGTGTAGGATTATGTTGATCAGCCTGGGCTAAAAGTTGGATGCCAGTTTTGTAACATTTTTGGTTATTTTTTTTTCTTTCTGATTTCAGTCATTGTTGAACATGGTGTAATATCATCATCTTATGAGAACTTGAAGAGTAGATGATATATTATGTTACAAGAATGATTCACTTAATATTATCTGGTAACAATTTCAATATTATATATATCTTGTCTTCTTTATTTTGTGTGTATTTTGCAAGTCTTGTCATGCTGTATTTCTAAAGAAAGGTGCGTGTTTGGTTTTGTGATCTCTTTTATTATAGAGTTATAAACTTTTTCCTACGCGATCGAGTATTAACTATGATACTAAAAATTGTGCTTCTGTTATTAAATAATCCATTCATGTCAAAAAAATTACGCCAAACATCTAGTGTGGGTATATATATATGATTTTGAAAAAATAGTTAAGCTTAAAAACAAGCGAGATTGAAAAAGGAAGGAGAGAGATAAGAGAAGAACAAATAGAGGAGAGAACGAATTGTAATTAAATATATATATATATATATCTATATATATTTATAATTGTAATTATATATATATAATTGTATTTGTATATCGGTTGGATAACTATAAATATGTAATTAGTAGGAAAAGCTAACTTATTAAACATTCATATAATATCACTAATTAATATTCCTTCTATATATCCAGGAAGATACACCTAAATACATATATTTAAGTTGTTAGATATCCTAAAATAAAGAAAGACAACACGATGGGGAAGAAGATAAACAAGATAGTTTATAAACACACTAAATATATGTATATGTATGTATTTTGGTGTGTTCCACATGTTTGGAATACCAGATTATACAATGAGATGATCATAGATATATTAATCCACTTTTGATACAGTGTATCTAGAATAAATTATATCTAATTTTAAATTCATGCATCTTAGCGCATCAAAATCTGATAAATTTCATAATATTTCGAAATCAAAATATATCTACCTAATTAATTTCTAAATTAGTGGAATTTTTGTAAATTTGTCTAACTAAGTATTCAAATACAATTGTACTTGGA